GCTACTATTGTGTAAGATTTTAAAATCAGAAAGTTAATGAAAGAAATTCAAAAAGATTTAGAGCAAATACAAAACGTGGTAAATGCCTGGCAGATGACATTTAATACAGACAAGTACACAGTGTTACATGCAGATATCAGAAACATAAACTAGAAATATACTGTAGGATGGTAAACACTGAGCCCGGAGAAGCTACATCCAATAAAGAAAGCTGTTTATGTTATGTTACATCATTTACAGCTTAGACAATGGCAAGATGCTAGCATATCTATTTAAAAATGTATAAGTTAAATCAAGTAAGGTTACATAATAATGGTACACTGTACTAATAAGACCTTGTTTAGAATATAGTGTCTAAAATTGGTCACCATGTTACAAAAATATACTGCTGCTCCCGAACCAGTCCAGAGAAGAGTGACCAGATACATTCCCAGGCTAGAAGGAATACCCCATACTGACAGGATGAAGGAACTGAACCTGTTTAGTCTTGAACATAGATGACTACGAGGGGGCATGATTCAAGTGTTCAATTTATTTTCCCTAACCAACCAGTATTTCTGCCGAAGGAATACAGTTAACACAAAGGTTTCCTAATGTAAAGCTGTGCTCCAGGGATGAATACGCTTACATACAGTACTCCAAAGTTCCAGAATTTGTCATTCACTTGATTACACATTCTGGCTCTCCCTGAGTAGGAAGCTTGCCTCGAGATGTATTTTGTTGAATTTGCCTTTTTCTTTTTGTTAATATCTCCGAGTGCCGGTAGTCTTGAAAGAGGATTTTAGTTGTCAGTAAAGGGCGAAAATAGCAGGGACATCTTTTTCTGCTGTGCAAGGTGCTGGGGATCCATGATTTTAGGCTGAAATTTAAATTCTAAATATCTTAATGAAACACAATGAGGAGATGAGACTAAAACATATTTTTTTAATTTAGAGCCCCAGACATCAAAGCTCACAGAACTAATATATCACAAAACTAAAGGTCCAACCATTTGAAGTCTCATTTCAATATTTTTACTGTATTTCCTAAGGCAACAGTTCCTCTGCTGACTCATTATTTAGTTTTAAACACTGTGTTTTAGTCTCCCTTTGCTGTTGTTTAAAGCCTACAATTTCCTTTGTTAGGTTTTAGATTTCATGCTACCACACTGTCTAGAAAGAACACCTTTCTGAGAACTGAAATAATTAAGACAAGGGAAAGAAAAGGTTTGGCAGCTTAGATGATGTCACCCAGGAGAATACGCATTGTGTCAGCTTAGTCCTTCATAACAGTGTGGTCTTTAAAGTACCGTTAAAAGTTCAAAGCTTCTCCAGTTCCAAAATGAAGGCATGTCCTACAATGCATGAAAAAATACAAGACAGACTATTTCTTGATAAAGATCTGCTTAGGTCCATCACAATATTCTCTTCTGGGCTTTTGGTGAAGGAAGGAGTCTGCTGGTGAATAAAATCTGGGCTGTGTTTAAGCTTCTTTTCAATTATTTTATCTCTATCGTTGTAGTGAACGTTGCACACAGCTTTCCATACTACACATAAGCATATAAAGAGCAGTTTAAAGAAAGCATCTCTGGAATCTTATTGATTTGCCCAAGGACTTATGAAGTATCCATCCGTATCCTTGCGTTGACTTTCTAACGCCTACATTTGCTTCTTTCCTGGTTCTTTTGTTTTTGAAATGATTGCAGATGAGAGGAACTAAGAGAAATGCATCACTTCATTAAAGCAAGAGCCGTAAAAACAGAATTGCATCACTTTACGCCACTACTACCAACGCAAAAACCCCACCCACTTCGACCACCAACCACAAAAACCACCAGTATATTTCATTCCATCTTCTTATTGACACTTTGCCACTTATTGGCAAAGTGTCAATAAGAATTGCCTTGGATTCTAAGCAAAGCTCACCTGTCCTGCTGTTTTACAGTGGGCCAAACATGAGTTTACTTCTAACTAGTGAAATCTGACTTAAAACAATGCAAAGAAACACAGACCCAATTACTCATGAAATGAACAAGCAGAAGACACCTATAAAAATTGAGTAGCTCCGAAGGGGACAGATTTTTTAAGCAGTGCCGAACGAAGCTTCTTTAACTGTCTTAAGCTGTATAAAAACATATTTGACAGCTGTAGCATGGAGAAGTGGAGCTCCATTACCACATGATCCATTAAATCCTGAACCATCTCATTAATCGCCAGCAGCTGTAGTAAAAACAAGGCAGGAGGTCTTCCTTCGGATAGGGAAGCTTTGAGCGTCTAACAGAACAGCTACTGAGGCTTGAAAACAGCACTTGTCATAAGGTAAGCTTTTAACGTGTCAAGGTTTGCAGTAACAGCTTTGTTATTGTATTTATTTAGTGTTTCTCTTAGTTTGACCTGCCTTTTGTAGACTGGCAAACAGGAAACTGCTGTCTTATGAAAAGCTGTGGTCTTCATGTCCATGTGCTGTTCTGACATCTAAAACGTACGTCCTCTACATCTATTGATGCCATGGCAATAGACTTGTGTTCCTTTTTTCAACACCCTTAAAATAAAAAAAACGACAACTAACTGTTCTGTGTTGCAGAGGATATCGTAATGTTTTTTTTGCCAATCACACAAATCTCACTGAAGCTCAGAATTTAGCTTTATTTTGATCAAGTGTTATATTTCTTAAGATCTGCCATTCTGCTAGCTCATTTTAGCAGAGCTATCCCATCACCGAGATTCAGTATTCTAAAGGCGGGGATACTAGGGGCACTTTTGGGAATTACTTTAATACCTTCTGCAGAGTCCACACATTATAAACTATAGCTTAAAAGATATATACAGGGAAGCCAATATTAAAAGCTTTTGACTCTTGCTTAAGTCATTTCTTTTATCCTCTTAGAAAAAATGATGAGATCTCTGCAATATTTGCCATCCTCTTCTTTCAGCAGCTCCTTTTTTCTTCCTTTGAGTCTCACATAAGAAAAGTCTTCTTGGAGTGTGCCATCAAAGTTTTATTGCCGTAAATGTTAAACTTCTGATTGGCATTTTCAGGCTTTATCCCGCCCGGCTGCCGTAGATAAGAGCCGATTTCCAGCCAGAGTGGAAACTTCAGATGAATGCTTGCTCTTCTGGAAGGAGAGAGGGGGATGAAGGCGAAGTCGGGGTCCTCAGACAGCGTTCTCTGTGGAGTGAAGCGCTGTCTTAATACCTTGTCTGGAGACTGCAGATAGGTTTGTTCCTCTGTGGCGAGTGACAGTGTCTCAAGGAGGTCCACAAAGCTTCCACAATGGATGCAAAAATCACTTAAAAACACCAGGAATATGAAAGCATTCTGTTGCATTACTGCAGCTTAATGGACCAACTCTGTGCAAAAATGTACCGTTTCCTATTTATAGAATATGCAGTAGTCATGTATCTTTACTATAAAGGCAACATTTTTAAATAAGATCCCACAGAACATATATTCTTTTTTTAGTCAATTGTATTGCCATACTTTGAATAACGATATCAGATGTACCATTAAAAGCAATCTTCCCTTCCTGCTCTCTGTAAACCCTGTATGCAATCATTCATTCTCCCAATGTTATTACTACAGTAGTTTGGAAACATGATTATACAGTATGTAAGCATTAGATTCGCAATGTCTTCTCAGCACATATTGCTTCAATAACTAGTTATGTCAGGCACTGGAACATGAAAATATGAAATGCAAAAATATTTAAACAGCACTGGAAACTCTGGTAAGCTAGTCTTTTACTTCAGTTTTTTTTTAGGATTATAATGTATTATGCAGATTTACTCAGAACAGCAAAGCTGCTAACTAAAAAGAAGACACATACAGTATTGCTGAATTTCTTATTAATTCTGTCACCCTAATTTCAGGGTCAAATATTTTATAATTCATGGGGCAAGTGAAACTTACTTACATTCAACATTCATATCCACGTTTCCTAAGTGTAAGTGAATATAACTGTGGGAAAAAGGAGTTAAGATAAAAAAACACAGGAATGTTTTTTTTGGTCAAACTATAACTTTTAAACCATAACTGTGTGAAGACAATAATGTATGAATTGCAATTCATTAAAGAGTATGGTTTGCCCTGGAGGAGACATTCTGTGTTAGTAATACTGATACTATGTGAAAACACAAATTGATCCAAGCTTATCCCTCGTTATATGACAGATCTGGAAAATACAAATGATGAAGCAATGAAGTGGATAGGAGGATTATTTTGTTCAACATGTTTGCAAACAAACTCATAAGTGAACTGTGTATGGGCCATCCTTTAACCTACAGTAGATTCAGATAAGGATTTATAAGAAGAAAAACAAATTACACAAGAACATCCCACAGTGATATCACTTATCTACAAAGAGGAGTGTTCCAGTCACTCTAACATGAATGATAGAGAGTTTGCTACAAACTCCCTGTCCTCAGTAAATTGATCAGAAGTGATTCCCTCCTCCCTGGATCCACACAATCAGTTATGAATTTTGAACCCTTTACATTTGAAACTACAGAGGGATTTCTTCTGAAGCAATTTTATGCATGACTCAGTAACTTTCAACACTTTCTCTTGTTTTTAGTTATATGTTTCTTAAGGGGAAGACTATTAAAATCATTTTTATAACTCAGGAATAAATACTCTGTGGATTCACTGCTTTACCCTTCTTACACACATGGTGGTCTTGTGCTATAAAACTGGATGGGATGAAAGTCTCCGTTAGCTACTCATGTAGCTTCTAATTTATGCAAGATAATAGATAGGATGGGAAAAAAATACCATCTCCTTCACCTTCCTGCTACATTTCTCCTTTCTTCAGTTTTCAGATGGCTAATATAAAATTTCTTAAATTTCTTAAATTAGGTGACTATCCTGGAATATCTTTAAAGGGAGATACCAATTTGCTGGTTATTCCTAAATCTATACATAAGATAATGCCAATAACAAGCCTTTTAAGAGCTGGGGAATATTTGACCTTTCTAAAGTGGTATGTTTTAATATTTATTTAGGGGACAGAGTTTTCCCCGCGCGTATAAAATCATAACTTTTTGTGATGCTTCAGCAGAGCACTCATTTCGAGACCCGTTATTCATTAGCCCCCAGATTAAACAGAGACATTGCCGTAATAACTGTACATAGACTCATGAGCACACACACACACACAACACACGTAAGCATGACCATGCACGTCTTTAAAATGTTCGTGGGCTGGCTGCCTATGGCAGAGAAAAAGCGGGCAGCGGGCGGGGGGTTAAGCGGTTCTGCGGTCCAGTCGGTGCGCGCCGGCTCGCGAAGAGAGCGCACCAGTTTTGCGCCCTCTGCTACACGGACCGCCGCAGCCGCTCGGAAAATGGGAAACCAGGAGCGGCGACCACTTCCAACTGTTCGTTTCCAGCGGGATGGGGCTGTAGAGACGCCGTTACTGTGAGCTGCCTGAATTTAAAGAAAAAAAAAAAACAACAACCAGAACTGGAGAACTTTATCAGCCTGCAGAAATGGAGTATCTTACTTTGATTTTGTCAGCTGCGCTTTTTCTGTCCGTCCAGCGGAACAAGTTTACCAGGTACGGTTGGTGCAGTATTCTGTACGTGTGTGCGCGCCCGCAAAGTCTTAAACTACTTAAACAAAAGAAGATGCCTTGTGATTGAGGGTATAATACATTGTTTTGTACCTTATAACTAGACACGACACATAGTATCTTTTAGACTCCTTTCTAGTATGTTTCAATGCTTGTTTATTCCATGCCTGGTAACTCCTGCAATTAGTTTCCCAGTGTACTACACATGTAAAGTGTATTTGACGCGTTATTAATGATAACCATTATTGGAGTACAACGGTGTCCTTGTCCTTAACTCTGCCGCTTCACAGCTCTGGTGACCTGGGTTCGAATCCGGGCAGTGGCTCCTTCTGGGTGGAGTTTGCATGTTCACCCGTCGCACTAGAGACATGCTGGCTGGTTTATTTGGGCTCTCTGAACTGTCCCCGTGTGTGTGTGTGTTGATGTTGCCTGCCACAGACTGGCAGTCCAGTCCAGGGCAAATCCTTTCTCCTTGTCTCTATCTGCCGGGGATTCGGCTCGCTGAAACGCTCTATAGCATGAGGGAGCCGTGGCTATATAACATGATTGAGGTCAACTATCACTGCAGCGTTTCCTGTTTCAGCACTTGAAAACTGAGAATTAAAAAAAAAAAATACCAGCACTGCCACTGGAATGTCTGTAGTGCTCGGTTCAGCATTTTGTCCCCTCGGTTTAAGCCGAGTTACTTCAAATCTTTAAACGTGATTTGGGGATTAGAGAAAGGCTCTAGCGCCAGTACACGGCACTATACAAATGGAAATAAAAAAATAAGCTACATTACATTCAGGAACCCATCTGCTGTAAGAGAGTTTCCCCCAGAAAATCGTACAACCCATACCCTGATTAAAAAGTCTAATCAAGACTTACCAACCGATTAATATCCACGGGCCACAAGTATTATGAGCAAGTTCAACATTGGAACATACTGTATACCGTGCGGGAACCAGTGCTGTTGCAGTATACTCAGAAAAAGAAATATTTATATATATTCTTGTGTAGCTTTCTTTTTTCACACCTCGAATGCTCTCCAAAGTTGTCGGGAGTGGAATGCTGATACGGAGTTTATCTGTATTACCGTTCTGCTCTACAGTATATACAGTAAGAAGAGTAGAATGCAAATTATATAGAAGACTGACGATTAAACAACGTGTACAGTGCTGCTTCTGAGAGAAAAAAAACATTGACATTTTTGTTAGTGCTTTTTCTGTGGTCGGCAACGGAAGACACGATTTACGGAGACTTAAGAGTAAGTCATTTGCACGAACAAATTGGGCTTGTTTTCTACTTATCCATCTGAAAACCGTTTAAACCACCTGGAATTGATTAGATCGTTCATGAGATTTCGGAAATGTAACTGCAAAGTCTGCTGGTAGTCATTTGACGTTTGTGAAAATGATGACTTGCCGAAATGTGAACACTCTCTTGTCTCTCTATATCACATATTCATATTGTATATATTGCCTGAAAATAACATCACACTTCAAATCCTAAAATAAATCTCTGAGTACAGTCAGAGCGACGTGATGTTACAACAGTTTTGTAAAGGATTAAGTTGTGAGGAGTTATGTCAGTGGAGAGCGCAGCTACAGAGCTTCGCTTAAATTTGGAAGATGGTCACAGTCTAAAGATTCACCACTGTCCGTTAGAAAAAAAAAACTTCAGTGTTTATTTTTAAAGGCATTGTTCGCAAGGGTGTTGCGAAGGAGAAACGAAGAGAGCTGTGTTAAAAATAGAAGAAAAACAAGGTTTGCGCCTGGTTTGTGCTTAAATCTTTCTTCAGAGACAATTTAACAGAATTTAAGAATATCATATCTAATATTATATTTTATATTTATGTCTAATATAATAATAACACTAGCAAACCTCTTAATAAATACACCGTGGTTTAGTAATTTGTAATATTTATGTCAGATTGTTAACTATAGAAAAATGAACGATTTGACAAGGGAACGTGGGAATTATGTTTTGTAACGTCTCTGCAAACGTAAAAGATATTTTTAAGAGTAATATATCTGAAGCAGAACTATTTCATTGTAACGGATAAATAGAAAGAAAACCCATCAATTCAGGGAACCTTAATCATTAAAACATGTATGATGAGACGATCTCTTCCCCGTGAGCTGGGTCTGCAGTGGTGCTGTCTGAGAAGAATAAAACCTCCCTGAGTCTTAAAAGCTGAAAATCAGACTTCTGAACCAAGAAAATGAGGGACGCTTGATGAAATATTTGAATACAAGAAAAAAACACCTTAAAATGTAATTGGAAAATGAAAAGTGTTTTACCACACCTAATTTAAAACTGCGTTTATTGATCTACAGTACACGTTGTGGACTGTGTGGTTAACCTGAAAAGCACCTACTGTGGAAATGACTTGTTAAACTCTGTACATGCAGCAGTCCCTTCTCCAGCTGCTCCGAAGCAGGAAGTTTCGTTAGCTTTTCCCTCTTTACTTCAGCTTATGCGAGGGTGGTGCAGTGAGAGGTGTCCTTTCCCACTGACATTTCCTGTATCACAATGGCCATCATCACCTCTTTTCCATGTCCCCATTTATTCCATCCATCAATACATTTTCTAATGTTCGCACATTTTCTTCCCATTCAGTGTCGCAGGAAAGCCGGAGCCTATCCCAGCAAGCAACAAGCACAATGCTGGGTTCACCCTGGATGGGATACCTGTCCATCACAGGGCACACACAGAGACACAAACACACACTCACGCCTAGGAAGAAGAAGAAGAAATCAATCAAGTTGCCTGTACAGTACGTCTTTGGTCTGTGGGAACTTGAACCCAGACCTGAAATTCACCACCACATTGCCCTCCCTATTTCTTATTCGTTTCAGTGTTATCCAAAGACTTACATTTGTACCAGTTTATACAACCGGGCATATTACTGGTGCAGTCTTAATGATATACTGTACCTTGCTCTGGTGCATTGGCTCAAGGGCAAAACAGCAGTGCCCCACTGGGAATTTGAACCCTTGATCTTCTAATTACCAGTCTAGTGCACTTACACACACGTCACACTGTTGCCATGTGTTGTGAACTCTCTAGACAAAGTAGTAGTTCCAGCATGCGTCAGCATGTGTAGGCTGCAAAGGAACAGGTAACGGGTTTATTCCTGCTGAACAGAAAAGAAAGGAAACGCAACGTTTCAGCTGTTGAGCCTTCTTCAGTGTGTCAATAATTCAATATGATAAGTAATGGAGGTAATTGGGCATTTTGATTTTCCTATTGCCCTGCATGTAGATTTGCATTTATTCATATGGCAGATGAATAAAGTTTTTTGTCTGGCCAATATGCAAAGGGTGGAGATAGTTTGCACTGTATGTTGTGTCTCTTTTTGAAGATGCAGCAGGTCATTCTTCAACTTTTTCTGAAGCAGGAACAGGTTTATTTAGGTTGTTGATAGGTTAATCGTCAAGCACAGGCAGTCTTTCTGTTTCAGTGTTTCATTAAACTTAAAATACCCTGATATAAAATATCAGCAAAAGAAAACCAACTTACCAGAAATCAAGAAAATGAATTTCCACTTTATGTCACCTTTCAGCCATTTGTTTTCTCCAGGGGCTTCCTGAAGAATGACTGTACTTAAAACACACTCAAGAGGAAAACTAACTGGAGACTTCACTTCACTTAGTTTTCTATAAATGGCTCTGGGTTCTAATAATTGCACCACTTTTATTATAAAAGATAAGAAACATCTTAGCTTTATTGTACTGTATGTAGTTTAGTGACAGTTGTGATGTTGGGCTTAGTGAATGCCTCAAATCTTGATCCATTCTCAAAATAAATATAGTGTGTATATAAATATATAGAATAATATTCAGTTCAAACCTCACAGAAGGGGTGAGTTTGTACATTATGGTCTTAGTTCTTGAACTGTTTAGATCTTTTCACTGAAATCCTCTTGCAGTTCATTTCCTTCTTTAATATCTCGATGTTCATTTCCTGGCACACAACAGATTCAACTTCTTGGAAAGTTTCCAGGGTCAGAGAGATTAGTGCTAAAATTGATTTTTAAGAAGCTGCACATGACATGCTTCAACATGCAGTATATAGGCAGGGTTACAACAGGCACATGTACTTTATTGCAAAATGTTTTACATATATTAAAGGATTATAAAGAATGCTATGGATTGCTACTGTATATAGCAAAAATGTTTGGAGTTCTTCAAAAAACATCCATCATCTATGGTAATGAACCAAACTAAACAGATCCCTAGACCTGTGTTTCAAATGTGCAGAAATTTTGCATTTTCTACCCACATGATTAATAGAATGTTTTTCTGTTGAAATAAAGCTATAAAAACATTTTAATTATATATATAAAACTAAACCTTCTATTTGACAAATATGGGAGGATTCTTGCACTAGTACTAAATACGTATAGTTCAAAGTGGTTTCTGTAATAACTATGCACAATATTTTCAGAATGTTAAAAATTAAATACAGTAGGTTTTGATCAGACCATTTCTCTAGAGGCTTTACATTTCTATTTTCATCTTTAGAATAATAGGCAAACAGGCAAAAAAGAGCAAAAAGACTCTAGTGAAGTTATAGCTCTTGTTCTGCTTAGAACTGTAGTGTGTCAGCTGTTCGACATGATTAAAAAATGTATCCTACTCTCTGAATATGTAATGTGTTATAACATCCAAGATGTGCTTTATTTTTCATGTATAATATAAACATAGAATTGCATAGGTATGGTATGAACATATAGTTTCATGTTTTTAATTAAAAATACACCATAAACCATGTGCCAAATAAATACTCAATAAATCATGCCATTACATTTTAAAACTTTTCAAACCCACATTAAACATTTATCTGCATCTATGAATATTTAATAAACATTCCACGGACTGCCAATAGCAGACTTTTTATATGTTAATTAAAAGCTTTGAAACATCATCATTAATATGTTTGCCAAGCCAAGCTTACATATCTTTTAATCAAGGTGTAGTGACCCTTAAAAATGTAGGGAT